AGCTACAATTATACAATGGGGCGAGGACAGCATCTTCAACAAATGGTGCTGGCACAATTGGAAGAGGGTGTGTAGAAGACTGCAGATAGACCCATGTCTGTCGCCATGCACAAAACTCAAGTCCAAATGGATCAAAGACCTCAGCATCAATCCAGCCACATTGAACCTCTTAGAAGAGAAAGTAGGAGGTACCTTTGAACAAATTGGTATAGGAGACCGCTTCCTGAACATAACTCCAGGGGCACATACACCGAGAGCAACAATTAATAAATGGGACCTCTTCAAACTTAGAAGCTTCTGTAAGGCAAAGGACACAGTCGACAAGACCAAATGGCAGCCCACAGACTGGGAAAAGATTTTCACCAATCCTATATCCAACAAAGGGCCGATCTCCAAAATATATAAAGAACTCAAGAAACTAGTCAACAAAACACCAAGTAACCCTATTAAAAAATGGGGTACAGAACTGAAGAAAGAATTCTCAATAGAGGAAATCAAAAAGGCTGAAAGACATTTAAGAAAATGCTCAACATCCTTAGCTATCAGGGGAATGCAACTCAAAACAACTTTGAGATACCATCTTACTCTAGCCAGAATGGCTAAAATTAGAAACACCAATGACAACTTATGCTGTAGAAGATGTAGAGAAAGGGGAACACTCCTCCACTGCTGGTGGGAGTGCAAACTCGTACAGCCATTTTGGAGATCAGTATGGCGGTTCCTCAGGAAAATGGGAATTAGTTTACCACAGGACCCAGCAATCCCCCTCTTAGGCATATACCCAAATGATCCGCATCCGCATCCATGCAACAAAGATATGTGCTCAACTATGTTCATAGCAGCACTATTTGTAATAGCAAGAACCTGGAAGCAACCTAGATGCCCCTCAATTGAAGAATGGATAATGAAGATATGGCACATCTACACAATGGAATAGTACTCTGCAGAAAAAAAATAATGGTATCTTGAAATTTGCAGGCAAGTGGATGGCTCTTGAAGAAACCACCCTGAATGAAGTAACCCAGTCACAAAAAGGAACATAGTATGTACTCGCTCATATATGGATTTTAGACCTAAAGCAAAGGATCACCATCCTACAATTCATACCACCAGAGGAACTAGGATACAAGGTGTATTCTAAGAGATTCATATAAAGTCCCTCACAGAACTGGGAGGGGACAAGTCCCCTAGAGCTCAGGGGAAGTGGGGGGGGCAGCGAATGGAGAGAGAAGTAGGAGAAAGAGAGGGGGAGGAAAGGAAAACACGTGTGACCAGGAAGATTGAGTCCAGGTAGGAATAGAAGACGAGAGAGAGAGAGAGAGAGAGAGAGAGAGAGAGAGAGAGAGAGAGAGAGAGAGAGAGACTGAGAGAGAGAGAGAGGGAGAGAGAGAGAGAACATAAAAGAGGGAGCCAATATTGGTTTGAAGATAAAATTGAACACAAAGAAAGGTCTAGAGAACTACAAGACAGCCGCAACTAACACTTTGAGCAACCGTGGAAAGGCTATCATAAATGCCCTTCCTGGATAGTGAGATCAACAACTAACTTATCCATGGAGCTCTCATCTAATACCTGGTGGAAACGGAAGCAAACACCCATACACAAACACTGAGTCGAACTAGAATCCAGATGCAGATGGAGAGGACAAGACCAGGTTGCAGAAACACATAGAGACAGCTTACCTGAACAAGGAGGAGCTAACGGCCACTAGACTGATAGCTGGGAAGCCAGCATGGGACTGACTCAGGCCCCCCTGAATATGGGTCTCAGCCAGAAGGACTGAGCAGTCTAAGGGACCTCAGACAGTGGAGCCAGGATGTATCCCTGGTGCACAAAAGAACCATGCGAACACATCCCCCATGGAGGGATAACTGCCTTAACCTAGAGACAGGAGAGAAGCCCTAGTCCCTACTTCACATGACCTGTCAGAGCTACGTGACCCCAACTGGATGGCATTGCCCTTCATATGGAATTGGGATGGGGGATGGGAGGGGAGGGTGGTTAGAATGCATGTGAGAGGGCAGAGAGGGTAAAAGTGAGGAAGGGAGGTAGGGAGGGAGGAAAAGAGAAAGGGAGGGAGAGGGAATAAAAAAATAAAAAAAAAAAAAAGAAAAAAGAAAATGTGCTCAGGAGATCACTTGGAGCCAAGTGAAAACCATGTATCAGGGTAAGGAAGCCATCAGCCAGTTCCCTGTCTGTCTGCTCCTTAATGAGGCTAGGTAGTGTGTGGGTCACATGACTTGGGGTTTGCAGTGGCCTGATGGGAATAGCTGTAGTGGATGTTTGGGGTATAAGTCTGACTTCATGAGTGAGAATGAAGGGAGCAGTTTTCACTGCTAAGATATGCATGCTTCACCGTTCCAGAGTTGAACATGTTCTTTAATCGATAGTCAGCCTTGCTTTTATCACAAGCAAATTAGCCTTACTGTTGTGTTTACATTTGCAAAACATATTTTTAAAATAATATGTGGCCCAACATTAAAAATAAACAATAAACAAACCACAGCATACCCCCAAGCCTAGAAGCAAGGTGGAGTGAGGCAGATGTGCCCTCCTCTGTCCAACATGTTTTATGATGAGGAAAAGGGATAGGACTGCTGTGATGGGCTGCGATGTTTTACAGTGTTGAAATTTGGAAATTCTTCCCCAAGGAAGAAATGCATAAATGATATTTGTCATTATGTAATAAAAAATAGGAAAGGACAAAGTCATGCTGACATTTCACATTGACGACAGCCAAGCAGAGGCCATCAGGCTTTACAGTACAGCCGCTTTATTCAAGAGAGTTCAAATACAAAGTAAGGAGGGAGCAGGTTCCACTTGTATTATCTGATTAACTAGACAGGCACTGTTGCTTAAGCTATGAAAAAGAAGTAAGTGTTCATGGAACAGCTAGATTCTGACTCGCTCAGAGAAATCACAGCCAGAGGAAGGAGATACAATCAAATACACAGCCACAGTGAAATGATTCTGGGACTGGCAGGTGTCCACATTGTGATAGAACATCATGTTAAGGTGTGTTACTTTTGTTTATTCTGTGGAACAGTTAAGGATGTAAAGATGTGTTGCTTCCGTATATGCTGTAGTTGTTTAACTCTGTGGAGGTGAGATTCTTAGTCTGTCTAAAACACCTGCTTGGTCTGATAAAGAGCTGAACCGCCAATGGCGAGGCAGAAGAAGGGATAGGCAGAGCTGGCAGGCAGAGAGAAGGGGAAGTCTGGGAGAAAAGAATCTGGGAATAAGCAAGGAAGGAGGAGGTATTCATAATTAAGAACAAGTCTCCATGTGTGATTTATTTGGCAGCTGGGTGGTGAGCCCCTCTAAAGAGTAAAACATGACACAATAGTCCATGACTTCAATTAGTAGTAGATACCACAAAGAACAAAATAACTTCCAGAGACTTACTGTAGAATATTATTTTAAGATGTGTTAGATTTGTTTAATGATGCAAGCATGTGTTGCATTCTTTCATATTGTGTTTGTTTAACTCTGCAAAGCTGTGTTACTTTGCCTGTGTAAAACACCTGATTGGTTTAATAAGAGCTGAATGGCCAATACCAAAGTAGGAGAAAGGATAATTGGGGCTGGCAGGCAGAGGGAACAAAGGAGGAGGAAAAATCTGGGAGGAAGATCAAGGAGCAAGAGAACAAGGAGAGGGGGATGCTAGGGGCCAGCCAGTAGGCCACACAGCCAGCCACAGAGTAAAAGTGAAAGATATACAGTAAGAAAAGGCAAAATTCCAGAGGCAAAAGGTAGATGGGATAATTAATGAAAAGCTGGCTAGAAACAAGCTAAGCTAAGGCTGGGCATTCATAAGTAAGAACAAGCCTCTGTTGTGTATTTATTTGGAAGCTGGGTGACAGGCTGCTCAAAGATCCAAAAGAGTAAAAGGAGTAAAACCAACAACAACATTTTGGTGTTTCAATGTGGGGTTAAAAACCTACAGAGAACTCTGATAGTAGTGTTTTTCTGAGGGGCAAAATACAACAAAGACCCCTGTTTTCAAAAGGGTTGGTTTATAATACAATTCTTAGACCATAATGGTGTTCCCCCAACTTCATTTACAAGACAGGTGTTAATGGTTAACAGAAACTTAGCTTCATCTAGCATATGTGAAGCTATTGCTTAAGTAGGTATGTCAGAATAATTTAAATAAAAATGATGAGTCTCAAATGTCAGTTTTGATTCCTGTTTCTACTTTTAGGCTGAAATTCCCTTTACTTTGGGAATGTGTGAATTCTCTTTGGATTGTAAATTCAATGACTTGGAATTCCTGTGAACTATAGTGAAGAAATAACAAATAATAAGCCCCTCTGAACACAGCACTTTTTTCTATGCTGGCAAATTTCCACACATTTTGATACAATGGGCATATGTAAGTATCAAAAATACAAAGACGAGACTTTTAATCAGAACACGATTCCTATCATTCAAGTCGTAGAGTCAAATACCAGCAACTTTGTAGAGAAATGCCATCTGAGCCTGAGAATATATTCTGCTGCATTATCAGATTAGCACGAATCTGCTCCACCGATATACTCCCTTCTCTAAAATTCTGGAACTCTTTACAGATTTATGGACTCCTAAAAGGTTATAAGGATGCTTGTACTGAGTTGTAGGAAGTAATGTGTTTTATGGTTACAACGTATACTGTGAAAACAAACATTATCGCAGATCACTTTCCATCCTTGAATGTGCTCTTTGTTCTCTAAGTGTCCCATATCAGATTAAATTCCTTGTTTCCAACTCCCATAACTTTTGTGCACAAAAATTCTGACATCTGGAAAAAATTTCTGGAAATGAAATCGGAATATACTGTCCATCAACTATGCAAAGCTGCCACCTACTGGTCATTCTTTGTATCTGTTTTTTGATGCTGAGTGGTGGTGTAATGGAAGGTTTCCTCTATTCAAAACTGCTGACAGTCAAATTTAAAGAATAAGTTCTTTCAGCAAAAGCATGCCCTCTCTAAGGTAAATAAAATACCAGTTTTCACGAACCTTCCAATAAAATCATCCCTTTTCCCAGCGTCCTTGTCCCAGGCAGTGATGTCAATGATCCCCCCTCTTTCTTCATAGAGATGGAAATCAAACTGCTCCCTCCACTGAGGATTCAAAGTTTTGGGCATAATCTGGAAAGGCAAAAAGTTATTGTATTATCAATACAATTAAATACAAATCGTATTTAAAAATCAACTTGAAACACTACACAGAAAATCTTGCTGAGGGTAGTAGTTCAATCAAAGATTCTGGGTATACAGGTACAATATTAGCTGCCAAAGCTCCAGCATCTTAGTTGCTTGTGGATGTATCCAGAGAAGTCAGATAATCATAAGTAAATAAGCCTTTGACTGTCTTACACAGCAGATGAGAAATATGAAATACATATATAAGGAGGCAGCCTGTCAGTGAAACAAGTCATACAGATGCTAACATTTATCCCTATCATGATGAAATAAGGAACACATAGTCAGTTATCTTGGAAGTTATCTAGGAAGATGATAATTCCTAGAGTTCCTGTTTTCCCTCTCACTCTCTATTGGTGTTTACAGCACATGAAGGACCGACAATGAGTTGTATGGAAACAGGAGGAATAAATAAGTAGATGTGGGTGGTTTAGTTTATTGTGCATTTAATATTTAGCATTGCTGTGCTATTCCACTTCCCATACAGGGAAACTATACATGTGTGTGTTTTTCATGTTGAATAAACAAGGATGTCTAGATTGCAATTTTGTGATTTTAAGTAGTCAGAGAAGACGCTCAGTAAATCAATAAACAAAGTTACCAGTATTAACATAGTATAAAATTCCATTTGTTTTTCTTGCCATTCGTTTTTAAGCAGGTAGTATGTAGGGGCCTTTTCTCTTTTTAATGGATGACAGACAGGTCCTTTGATTCAAAAATTGAAAGCAATGATGTATGTGATGTGCAAAGGTAATGCAAATGAATCACAACTTTAAAGTTCATAATCTGAAATTAATCTGCAATAGATCATGGACAGAAAGATCAAAAGAGACACTTGTCCATAGTAGGGTTCATATTTCATATCTAAAGAGTCCAAATGAACAAGTAAATCATGTTAATGAGAAAAGAGAGAAGTGGTCATGGATACCTATTTTTGGAAATAGTATCTGTTTTAAAATTTGTTCTTAAGCTCCTGAAAAATATAGATGGTACTAAATGGATGCTAAGACAATTCAATTATCTTCTTCAGCTTAGATGAACTCCTATGGCATTTTGGAATGTAGTTCATCTTTTTTATCAGGTGGTAAAAATACTAACTTTTTAGTGTTTGATATTAGGATTGTCTTTCCCATATAACTTTTTCTCAGCTAATAATTATGTCCAAATAGTTCATTTGGTCCTCCATAAGATTACCATACAGCCTGCTAGCAAAGCAAACTGCTTGTTAACCAATCAGCTTAGGGATATTTTGAATTACCTTTAAGTACTGATGAAGACTTTCTAGGCAAGAAGGGAATTAGACAGGGTGTCAATTCAAAATCCATGAAAACAAGTACAGTAAAAGCAAGAAATTTTTCACAAATGTGGAGTGTAATCTTTATGTAATGCAGGATGAAAACATCCAAAGCTGTTTATGAATGCCTCTGTAAAAACTGGAAGTAGTTATAATTGGCCATAACAAGATGTAGCTATAGTCAGTAAGTCTTTGTCATTTCACAAATAACATGCTACTGATATTAATTAATATATTACCACTAAGAATAAAATTGTTACTCTGCAAATATTACTGCTGCTAATCTTCCTTCTGCTTTTAGCATTTACTGGGTAGTTATGATCACAGCAGTATTTTAAGTCCTTTGTGGGTCTTCCATTCATTCATTGAATGTCATCAATGACTTGCTTATGTAGGCATTATTTTAGTTCTATTTCTACAGAAGGGGAAACTGACACACAGAGAACTTAAGTAAGTTGTGCTTTTGCACATGATGAAGCAACAGCAGGGGTTTGGCCCTTTGTTTCTTAAATATATGTTAAAATTCTGTATATGACATGGCAGTTGCAGTCATGAACAGTTGTTATTGCCTACATGGGGCAGTTGAAAGAAAAGAAAGGAGAAAAAGCAAGTAAAAGTGGAAGGAAGGAAGGAAGGAAGGAAGGAAGGAAGGAAGGAAGGAAGGAAGGAAAAGAGGGACATATTGGGGGTCAATTCAGAAGAAGAAAATGAGTGGTAGGAGGGGAAAAGGAGAGAAGTGAATAATATAAGTACATTTTATTGAAGTATGACATAAAACTCAAAGGTTATATGATTAAATAAAAATACAAAAACAATTTAAAATCCCCTTTGGTGCTGTGATGGCTAAAGTCAGACTGATTAACATGATAAAGAGTAATTTGAAAGACTAACTGCATGAAAATGGTGTACGAAATACTGATGCCAGCAGCACTGGTAATGGTCAACTCCTCAGCACTTCAGTGAGGGATATACTATACTCTTTCTGGGTTATTGTTGCTTTTTTCTCTTAAACATCCAAATGTGCAGAGAGCTGGTTCTTGGATAAAAGATGAAGGCAGTGAGACAAAATAGCAGAGTGGCTTACTCAAGGCCACCTAGGGCTTTGCTTCTGACATGATATTCCAAAGTTCCCCTTTCAAAAGGCATCTGTTGTTCTTACTTCCAGAAGCCTGGCTCCTAACCCATCAGCACCTTCCCAACAGTAAGGGGAGCACAGAAGGATGGAGACCTACCTTACTCTTGTACTTCTGATGCCCCAGCCGGAACTTCACATAGGGATCACTCAACCCATTGGAATCCATTGCTTTCAGGTCTCGGCCCTCAATCAGGGTGATGCTGACAATCCCTCTCCACAGGTGTGATTTCCTGTGCTGTTCTGACAGACGTAAGCTTTGGGTCTGAAACTGTGGCAAAGGAAACGTATGTTAACTTACTGTGTTTTAGCTCTAAGCTCTCAGGTGCCCTTGCTCTTTTCCTGGTATAGTTTTCCAAAGAATAGAAAGAAGTTAGTCAACTATTGTTTAAAGGGAAAATAATTTATTGAGTATTATGTATTGATTATGAAATTATTAACTGAATATGAAATTATCATCTCATGATGTATTTGTTATGTTTGAGGAATACTCAAGCACTACAGCTTCTTGATTTCTAAAATTAAAAGATATAGATATGCCTGTGTCAAAATATGTCTAAAATAAATATCAGATACCACAGCTGTATTGCTCTATTTAATTTTTAAGTTTTAAGAGTAATTTTTTATGTTAAAAATGGATTTTGAAGATGGCTTTTAGCTGAAAGATCAGTTGAAAGTTAGACTTAGAAAATTTTAAAACTGTCTTACTATCTTAGGGGATTAGGTGATTTTCTAAAGAACTATTTAAAGAGCCAGAGAATATAAAACTAAACAATATGCTCACCCAGACATCTTGCTTTTGTCTGAAACTTGTGTCATGAATAGTTACAATTATTTTTTAAGTTACAATGTGATTTACATTGGTATGCTTCTAGATTTTTCCCTCATTCTGTGTACTAACATTCTATAATATTTTCTAATATGCTCAATTCTAAATCAATATTCAGTCCAGTAAACAAGATCAAAATTGTTTTAAATTAGTGAATATACTAAAATATCCACATGATTTTAACAAAACTGAATGGTACTTAAAAACAAGTTACAGGGAGAGCATTAACAGTGAACATGATCCATCTGTATTCAGTACCAAGAATTGCTATAGAATTATTGTTTCTATGTTTTAAGCATGTTTGACCCACTTACAGTAGTTCCATGAGGAAATTCAGTTCTCCCTATGAAAATTATAGGTTAGCCATATTTGATGCCAAATCCTTTCTACATCAACCTCATGAACTTACAAACTGCCCTGCTCATGTCTCCCACCATAGCTCATGTTTCGACACCCATAGCTTCTGTATACCGTAGTAATAACATGGCTAGTTGTACATGTATGGATTTCAAGGTGGTTTTTATCAGGAAAACAGAAGCTACATGCTTCAAAAGACAACTGTTCTAGTGTTGGCAACATTTCAATGGAAATCTTTGTAAACAATTGTTCAACAGGAAATTTTGGACATTGATTCTGTCATATTAACATGTTGATTGTACACCTTAAATGTGAACATCAAGAGTAGTGTTCAAATGAGTCTTGGAGGACAAAAGAAGTCTGGGAATGTGCATGCAAGTTCCACAGAATCCTGCTTAATTCAAGAGGGTGCATTTTCTCCATTTGTTCCACATACGGGGTTTCTACACTGGATTTTGTTTGAACAAAGCACTTCTCAAAATAATTGTTTAAAATTCATTGCACCAAAGACTAAAGATTGTCCTTTGTTTTAGAGTTGAATTGTCATGTCAGTTGACCTGGGACCTCTTGCATACAGGCAAGCATTCTACCACCTTGTCACTAGGTTCTGATTGATTGATTGATTGATTGATTGATTGATTGATTGACTGAACAACTAATGTTGAGATTATCCCTAACAGCAGCACTTAAAGTGGGTTCTAAACTTTGGCTATAAAAGCTTTGTTGAGAAATATGATTGGTAAAGGAGGAAAACAAATGTTACAACAGTAAGAACACAATTTTGTTAGTAAAGAACATGCATTATGCCTTCCAAATCTCTGCTCAGAGCCTCCTAAGGACTGGGGACTGCACACTGTAGACCTTGTCCCAGCGGTTCAGCCCTCCAGAGTCTGCCAGCATCCTAGCCCCACTTCCACCCATGGGAGAAGGAGAGCTATTGGAGTACTAGACCTGATTTCACCCACCGGAAAAGAACCTTGGTCCCGTACCCACCAGGAGAGGGAGAAACCCCTCCAGTACTCACTGGAAGATGATAGTATAATAACAGAGTCAACAACAGAAAGAGCCATATGACAACACCAGAGTCTAGGGACACCACACCAGCAAGACCTGAACATCCCAACACAGATGAAGCAAAAGGGAACAACCCTAAAAACAACTTTATTATGATGATAGTGACCCTCAAAGAGGAAAATCCTTTAAGAAATGGAAGGAAAAACAAACAAAACATTTCAAGAAATGGAGGAAAAGTCAAACCAAAAATTGCAAAAAACAGTTCAAACAGTGCAAGGTTTGAAAGTTGAAATAGAGACAATAAAAAAGACATAGTGTGAGGGAATGCTGAAAATAGAAAAGGTAGGTAAATGATCAGGAACTACAGATGCAAGCATAGCCAACAGAATACAAGAGATAGAAGAGAGAATCTCAGGTGTTGAAAATACACTAGGAGAAATAGATTCATCGACCAAAGAAAATCTTAAGTCCAACAAATCCCAAATACAAAATATCCAGGAAATATGAGACACCATGAAAACCCAAACCTAAGAATTATAGGTGTAGATGAAGAAACCTACCTCAAATGTGCAGAAAACATATTCAACAAAGTCACAGATGAAAACTTCCCCAACCTAAAGAATGACATGCCAATGAAAATACAAGAAACTTGCATGCCAGCCCAGACTACTACATCGAGAAAAGCTTTCAATCACTATAGATGGAGAAACCAAGATATTCTATGACAAAACCAAATTTAAATAATAAATATTCACTAATACAGCCCTGCAGAAAATTCTGGAAGGAAAACTCTAACCCAAGGAAGTTAACCACACCCACAAAAACATAGGCAATAGATAATCCCACTTTACAAATAGCCAAAAGAAAAAAGGGGGGAAATCCACACACAAAACCACCACCACCAACAAACCCAAAACAAACAAGAATTAACAATCAATGGTCATTAATATCCCTCAATATTAATGGTCTTAACTCACCTATAAAGACAGGCTAACCAAATGGACATGAAGACAGAATCCATCCTTCTGCTGCATATAAGAAACATAGCTCATTTCAAAGACAAAGACAGATGCTACCTCACATTTAAGGGTTAGGAAAAAATTTCAAATGGACCCAAGAAACAAGTGGTCATAGCAATCCTAATATCTAACAAATTAGATTTTAAACTAAAATCAATAAAAAGAGATGAAGAATGTCATTTCTTATTCATCACAACAGAAATCTATCAAGATGAAGTCTCAATTCTGAAATCTAGGCCCCAAATACAAAGGCACCCACATTTGTAAAAGAAACATTACTAAAACTTAAATCACACTTAAAACCTCACACATTTATAGTTGGAGATTTCAACACCCCACTCTCAACACTGGATAGTACCACCAGACAGAAACTTAACAAAAAAAGAAAGGAACTAACAAAAGTTATGACCCAATTGGGTTTAACAGACATTTATAGAACACAAAAGAATATACTTTCTTCTCAGCATCATATGGTTACTTCTCTAAAATCAACCACATACTTGGCAATATAGCAAAACTCAATAGGTTAAAAAAAATGGAATAAGTCCTTGTGTCTTATCAGACCACTATGCTTTAAAGTTAGAATTCAACAACAACACAAATTGCAGAAACCCTACAAACTCATGGAAATTGAACAATGCACAATTGCACAATTCCTGAGTCAAAGAAGAAATAAAGAAAGGAATTAAAGACTTCCTAGAATTCAATGAGTTGAAGATACATCAAACTTATGGGGCACTTTGAAAGCAGTGCTAAGAGGAAAGTTCATAGCAATAAGTGCCCACATAAAGAAACTGTAGAATATTCACAATAGAGAATTAACAACACAACTGAATGCTCTAGAACAAAAGGAAGCAAAACCATCATGGAGGAGTAGATGACAGGAAATAATTAAATTGAGGGCTGAAATCAATAAAACAGAAAGTAGGAAAACAATACAAACAATCAATGTAACAAAGAGTTGGTTATTTGAGAAAAACAAAACAGGCAAACCTTTATCCAAACTAATCAAAAGGCAGACAAAGAACATACAAATTAACAAAATTAGAAATGAAAGGGGAACATAACGGACACCGAGAAAATCCAGAGAATCTTCTGGTCATACTTTGAAAACCTCTACTCCTCAAAATTCAAAAATTTAAAGGAAGTGGACAGTTTTCTGGATAGATAACACCAAAATTAAATCAAGACATGATAAGCAATTTAAATAGATCCATAACCCATAATGAAATGGAAGCTGTCATCAAAAGTTTCGCAACCAAAAAAAAGCTCATGGCCAGATGGTTTCAGTGCAGAATTCTACCAGAAATTCAAAGAAGAACTAACACCAATACTTCTCAAAGTGTTCCACACAATAGAAGCAGCAGGTTCATTGCCAAAGTCTTTTTATGAGGCTAAATTACCTTGGTCCCCAAGCCATACAAAAAAAACACAATTAAGAAAGAGAACTATAGACCAATATCCCCCATGAACATTGATGCAAAAGTATTCAATAAAATACTGGAAAATCGAATCCAAGAACACATCAGAGATATCATCCACTATGATCAAGTAGGCTTTATCCCAGGGATTCAGGGATGGTTCAACATATGAAAATCAATGTAATTTATCAGATAAACAGACTGATAAAGAAAAAACATATGACCATTTTACTAGATGCTGAAAATGCCTTGGACAGAATCCAACACCCTTTCATGACAAAGGTTTTGGAGAGATAAGGGATAACAGGAACATACATAAACATAATAAAAGCAATATACAGCAAACCAACAGCCAAAATCGAACTAAATGAAGAGAAACTCAGCATGATTTCTCTAAAATCAGGAACAAGACAAGGCTGTCCACTCTTTCCACATCTTTTCAATATTGTACTTGAAGTGCTAGCTAGAGCAGTAAGAAAACAAATAGAGATAAAGGGGATATGAATTGAAAAGGAAGAAGTCAAACTGCCACTATTTGCAGATGATATGATAGTTTACATAAGTGACCCCCAAAAAGTCTACCAGGGAACTCCTACAGCTGAACAACACCTTCAAGATTAGCTCAAAAAAA